CAGGCACACGTGCGCTCGTGTGCACACACACACACACACACACACACAGCTTGAGCCAAGTTTGGCAGCTTGCACGTGGCCTGATCCAGAGAAATAAAGGGAGGGGTGAGGAGGGCTTGGAGGGCTTAAAGGCTGAAGGGGAAAGTTCAGGAAGAGATTGGCAGAGCCTTGGGTGTCAGTTAGAGGAGATGGGGATTCCTCTTGAAGGTATTAAATAGGAGCCATGGGAGGTGTTTGACTAGGGGAAGACTAGGTGGGCTCATCAGAGAACTCTCACTGGATGCTATGGAGTGGGCAATATCTGATACCCTGGAGGGGACTGAAGGGATACCTCTGCAAAATGGGGATATGAAAAATGAGAATTAAATGACCTTTCAGAAATAGGAGGACTGAATCAACCCTCCCAGAGGACCCGTCTGTCCTACTGTTTTACCACCAGGGGAATAAGCGATAACTCCACTGGCTAACAGATCACATAAAATGTGCTGAGTCCCAGGCATTCCTGAGCTCCGATCCTCATGGTATCCTTTACAATTCTAGATCTCTCTGTGTGACTCTTAGCCCCATCTGTCATCTCCTTATTTACTTGTTTACGGTCTGTCACACTCGCTGCACCATGAACTCCATGAGGCAGGCAGTTTCATCTGTTTTGTTCCTGCTGTGTCCTCAGGGTCTAAATCAGGGCAGGCCTAGAACACAGCAAATGCTCACAGACCTCTGTTTGAATGACCGAATGAATGAATGATATACCCTTCAGGATAGTCATGATTCCAGTTTAACTTGTGGAGAAACTGAAGCTCAAGGAAGAGGAGATACTAAGACACTGAGGCCGGAGGGCAGGAGAGTAGGAGACAGCAGAAATGGGTATCCAGGCAGGAGAGAAGACGCCGGGGCCACTGAATATGAGGAGAGACCTACCAGGGCCAAGAGCCATTTGGCATCTGGACAGTGCTGCCCCATCAGTTGGTTCCCTGCCCCTTCCCCTGGCTGGACACCCAGCTCACAGGTTCCTAGCCACTCCCACCATGCCCAGGCCCCTGGGGTGAGGGGGAAAGAGGGAAGAGGGCAGCCAGCCGGGCCCCCAGCCACTTCCTGTTGGGCTTTTGCGCTCCCCACAACTTCCTGTGTCTGTAAGGCTGATGCTCCGGAGGCAGACAAAACCTCCCTGCATCCGGGCCTCCCAGCCTGGGTGGGGGGAGCCACGTACCTGGGTTTTCTGGCTCCAGTTCTGAATCCAGCGGTGGGCTCTTGTTTTTCCCCCAGAGGCTCTTGGATATTTTCAGGCGGCTCGTGCGTGACTCCTTGGGGGGTGCGGAGAGGACGCGACGAAACAGCGAGCGAGGGGCCGGCTGGCTGCTGGCCGTGGTCTCCTGGTGGCTCTGTGCCCTCCCCCATGCTGCAAGGCGGCCCCAGCGGAACCCCCCAGCCCCCTTCTCCCCACCACCCCCTGAGTGCCAGCGGTAGGAGGTTAGAGGGCATGGGGCTGAAGGCTGGGTTTGGGAGGCCCGGCTTGGTGAAGGTGGGTCCATGGCAGAGATTCTCCTGGGGGAATGAGAGGGTGATAATTCTGTCCGGTGTCTGCCCCCCTGGACAGGGTTGTGCTGTCTTCATATCCGCCCCCTCCTCACTCTCAGCTCTGCCCCCAGGGAACCCCCTTTCGGGGCAACACGCACTCCCTCTCTTACCTTGATTTCCTGACCAGCCTCAGGATCAGCAGCCGTCTGCACCCTGCCCGGCTTCCTCCGGCTGAACGCTACTCCACGTGACCCTGTCTGTCCCACCCCACCCCACAGCCAGGCTGGGAGGGCACAACAAGGGGCAGGATGCTAGCGGAGAGGAGGTGATAGAGCAGGACCCAGAATCTCTCAGTGACCGGGAGGCAGCCCATGCCCCTCTTTGAGCTTCAGTTGCCTTCTCTGCAAAATGGGTACATGTAGATCAAATGCTGGAACTCTCATCCACTGCTGGTCAGAACTCTCATCCACCGGCTCATCCAAGCCGGAAACCTGGTGTGATCTATGAGTATTGACCATATACCTCTTCTCTGACTCAGCAGTTCCACATATTGTGTGTATATGGTAGGTAAACACCCAATAGACATGCCCACTAGCCCTATTCGTAGTGTGTGTGTGTGCTCAGGTGCTCAGTCATGTTCAACTCTTTGTTCTACTCTTTGCAACCCCGTGGACTATAGCCCACCAGTCTCCTCTGTCCATGGGATTTCCCAGGCAAGAATACTGGATCAAGTTGCCATTTCCTACCCCAGGGGATCTTCCCCATCTAGGGACCAAATCCAGGTCTCCTGTGTTGCCTGTATTGGCAGGTGAAGTCTTTACCACTGAGCCACCAGAGAAGCCCTTATAAAGACTGCATACTTGTGTGCTCAGTCACTTCAGTTGTGTCCAATTCTGCGACGCTCTGTCCTTGGAATTCTCCAGGCAAGAATACTGGAGTGGGTTGCCATACCCTCCTGCAGGGGATCCTCCCCACCCAGGAATCGAACTCGTGTCTCCTGCATTTGCTGCATTGGCAGGCAGATTCTTTACCACTGCACTACCTGATAGCCCCTAACTGATAATAGCCAACATGTGCTTATACAGTAGAATAGATAAATTGTGGTCTCTTCCCATAGTGAAATATTATGTAATAATAAGAATAATCAAACTCGGATGAATCACAAGCAATGCTGAACAAAAAAATACAAACAATGAAGACTAAACACTATGTATTTCCATTTATATGAAGTTCCAAAGCAGGCAGAACATGTGTAACAAAGTCAGGAGACGGGTTTCCCTCTGGAGGGGCTGGAGACTGGGGAGGTGGGGGAGCACAAGGGAGCCTTTTGGGAGCCGATCATTTTTTTTTTAAATGAAGTGAACTTCACGTAGTATAAATATAACCTCTTTTATTTCTTGAGCTGAGTGTTGGTTCCATGGGTGTGTTCATGGCTGTGAAAACTCGTTAACCACACATTTTGATGCCCTTTCTTGCATCTCTGTTATACCACAATAAGTGTTCACTTGAAAAAAAAAAAAAACACGTGGCCAAATGCTGTTCTAAGGAATGAGTGAGTTAACGTGAGAATCAGTAGAATATTGGCCCACTGGTCCCAGAGTGAGTTTGAGTGCCAGCTGGTCCTTCTCTCACTGTGTGACCTCAGGCAAGTCACTTCCTCTCTCTGAGCCTTGGTTTCCTGATTTGTACAAGATGATAGCATCAGTTTCAAAAGATTTATAATGGGACACCTTGTTTCTTCAACCAATGTTCCCTTCATGCCTACTATGTGCTGGTACTAGAGAAGCAACAAGGAACAAGATGAACTTGATTCCTGCCTTCCTGGAGCTCACAGTACAGCAAGAGAGACAAGTCCTGAACATGAATGTAGGACATCTAGCTGGTGAGGAGGACTTAAAAGAAAATAGACAGACTAGAGGAGAGGCTGAGCACAAGAGACCCACTTTGAGCTGGAAAAACCCAGGAGGGCCTCCATGATGAGCTGGCATTTGTGACCTGAAGCATGAGAAAGAGCTGATCGTGGGAAGGGCATATCAGATAGAAGGAACAGCTTGTGCAAAGGCAAGGGTGACCAGCGTTTACGTGATGGGATGGGTAGAACTGCCCTCATTAGCATGTGGCCTGTGCAGTCACCCAGGGCCCCATGCTCAGGGCTCTACACTGAGCTTGATTTAATGCTCTGCTGTTGCTGGCTGGAAGTTCCTGCTTTTTAGACAAGGGGCCAGCATTTTCATTTTACACTGGGCCTCGAAACTTCTATAACCTGTCCTGAGGAGGAGGGTCTTCAGCGAGGATCAAAAATCCTTCTCCAGGGGCTGGACATGTTCACGCAGGTGCACACACCCTAGCTATGCCCACCTCATTCATACTGCACTAAGTCCGCTCACTGCACACACAGGTAGCTTCTCCCAGTGTTCTGCTGGATCTCTGAGCCTTCACCACTTAATTGTGTACTGGCCCCACTCCCTACATTTTTGCTGGAGGACTTTTCTCTGACAGATGGAGTCCACATTGCCCATACAACGAGCAATCCCAAAGTGCCAGCACGTTAACATCTCCCTGGGAGCTCGGGGCTTTCCAGGTGGCTTGGTGGTAAAGAATCCACCTGCCAAGCAAGAGACATGAGAAGATCCCTAGAGAAGGAAATGGCAACCCACCCCAGTATTCTTGCCTGGGAAATCCCAAGGACAGAGGAGCCAAGTGGGCTACAGTCCATGGGGTTGCAAAGAGTTGAATACAACTGAGTGATTAACAGAAAAAAAAAAAAAAAGAAAATAACCAGGGGGCTGCCCTCAACCAATGACTATGGGAGTTGGAGGATTAGTACTCCAGGTCCCTTGCCCTGTAAGTGGGATGTCTCTGAGGTATATGCCCTACACTGTTCCCCAGAGGTCCCCAGTGGGATGGAGCTCCACATGCCTCCCATACCAACATGACTTTGCTTCCCTGTGTCATTTCCTTATTCCCCAGGTGATATGTCCTGGCATCACCACCCAGACAAACTACTTCCACTGGGATTCTTGTCCCAGGGTCTGCTTCTGGGCCACCCAAACTAAGACGGAATGTGCATACGCAGATGATGCTTGAACACAGGCTTTCTATTCATGGTGTCCTTTATTTTTTTAGTGTTAAAAAAAAATTATTTTATTTTCTGGCTGTGCTAGGCCTTTGTTGTTGTGGGTGGGCTTTCTCTAGTTTCAGCAAGTGGGGGCTGCTCTTCATTGCAGTGCTCAAGCTTCTCATTGCGGTGGCTTATCTTGTGGAACATGGGGCTCTAGGTGTGCAAGGCTTCAATAGTTGCAGCACTCTGGCTCAGTAGTTGTGATTTGCGGGCTCTAGAGCCGGGGCTTAGTAGTTGTGGCCACAGGTTTGGTTGCTCCGCAGCATGTGGAATCTTCCCAGACCAGAGATCAAACCCATATCCCCTGCATTGGCAGGTCGATTCTCAACCACTGGACCACCAGGGAAGCCCCTCCAAGGTCTCTTTATTGGAGGTCAGTGGATAGCAGTATCATTGGAGGTGGTCTTCTCTTGGATCTGCTGGAGGCCCTCCTGGCAGTTCTTGGTTTCACATTCTGAAAAAGACAAGAGAGTTTAGGTTGGGGGTGGGGGTGACATGGAGCTGGGTCTGCCGTCTTCATGGTTGCACCATTGATGGGTAAGAGGACAGGGGCCCAAAGTGAGGAGGTGGGTACAACCCCAACTGCAGGCCAGCTTATGGAAATGGAGTGGTAGTTTGAAAGTGGAGCTTGATTGTACAGGGGTGGTTATAGAGGTGTTTCTGTCATTATGGTTGGTGGTGTGGTGCCATCATCAAGCTGAGAATGTGCTGACTAGGCCAGCATAAGTGTTGGCTCCAGATTGCTTCAGCATAAAAGTTGTAATCAAGGGTTAGGGAGCTGAACAAGCATCCTTGGGACTGAGATGGTCTGGGCAGAGGATTGCAACAACTCGGTTAGGGGCTGGGCAGAAGCTGTGTGGGCTTCCCAGTTGGTGCTAGTGGTAAAGAACACACCTACCAATGCAGGAGACATGAGAGACTGGGTTGGGAAGATCCCCTGGAGGAGGGCATGGCAACCCATTCCACTATTCTTGCCTGGAGAATCCCATGGACAGAGGAACCTGGCGGGCTATAGTCACAGGGTTGCAAAGAGTCTGACATGACTGAAGTGACTTAGCACACAGCACAGAAGCTGTCCTGTGCAAAGAGGTTTTCTGTAGTGGGTCACAGGCTTGATCACTGTTGTGTGGACAGAGAGCCGTTGGGTTGTGAGCAAAGGTGAGGGCAAGGTTGGGTGGCTGGGATAAGGTTGTGAAATGCAGAGGGGCAGGGGCAGTAGGCTATTTTGCAAGCAGAATGACTGAAGCCTGGGTCTAGATTGCCTGAAGAGATTGCAAGGGAGTGCAGGGGTCTTGGCTGAGGTTGTGGGCACAGGGTTACAGGAAGGAGTGAGAGGGGCCTGTTGGGGTTAGGCAAGCAGGCAGGGATCAGGGCACGCGCTGAGCTTGTGTGCACTAAGGGGTCTCAGGCTGAGATAGTGCGGGCGTCGGGGGACTCACCTTGTCGAAATGCGGCCAGGTGCGCAGCAGGTTGAAGAGCCGGTCGCCGGGGCACTCAGTGCGCACGAGCTGGCGGTGGCCTAGCAGCGCATAGTCTGGCCGCAGGAAGCCCGCGCGTACAGCGCAGCGCGGGAGCTCGTCTCGCACCGCGCGCAGCGCGGCCTCTGAGGGCAGCACCGCGGTGTAGTTGCCGATCAAGGCCACGCCGAAGCCGCGGGAGTTGTGGCCGAGTGTGTGCGCACCCACCCAGTGCCATCCGCGGCCCTCGTACACGTAGCCGTCTGAGCCCACCACGAAACTGCGGAGGAGAGAGGGAGGCAGGAACCAGACGGCGTGAGGCCTCCCTCCGCATCTGGCCCTCTACCCCGGTTTCCGCACCCGTGCCAAGGGCCACCGTCACCCCAAGTTCCCCCCGGTCACGCAGACTCCACCTCGTCCAGCCATGTCCCACTCTCCCTCCAAATGCCACCCCAGAAATAGTCCCGTTTCTCTGGATCTGTCCTCAACATTAACCCGGTCTTTCTACCCAGCTCCCGCCCCATTATTTCAAGCCTAACTCCTCCGCAATTCTGACCCTTTTCTGGCTGAGATCATATCCATCATTGCTCCGTCCCAGACTTAGCCGCTACCACATGTCCTGTTCTTCTCCCAAGTCTGGACTCCTCTCCTAGTTCCCACCTCAGACTCAAAAGAGTCCCACCGTTGAGCTCTTTCTAGTAGCTATGAAGACTCCACCCCCAGTCTAGGCCACGCCCATCTCCACCCTGGCTCCACCCACCCTAAAACTCCGCCTCCGTTTTGCCTGCCTCGCTCAGGTTCAAACCCCGCCCCCTGAGTCAGGCTCCGCCCATCCAGTCTCTCCACTGCACCGCCCCTTGGTCTGCCTCGCCCGCGTTCGGCAGGTTCCCGCCCACCTGTATCCTATGTCGGCCCAGCCTTGTGTCTGCTGGTGGAAACGCTGCATAGAGCGCATGTCTGCGGCGCAGCGCTTAAAGCTGGTGCAGGGTGGCGCGGGCAAGTACGTGTGGTGCACATACAAGAACCCGAGCGGCAGCTTCAGCGGTGTCGGGCGGCCCTGGTACGGTGCGGCACCCCAGCGGCAACGCGGGTGAATGGCCGGACACCCTGAGGGGAAGGGAGTCCAGAGTGGGAGTTAGCGAGCGTTTCTCTGCCTGCTGCCTTCTCCCACACTAAGAGGGCATGTAAGGATCATCCGTCCAGTCTGCTCCCAGATTTGGGGAGGGTTCATTCTCTCTTCAGTCTTCCCCCAGTGGCTCAGCTGGTAAAGAATCTGCCTGCAGTGCAGGAGACCCGAGTTCAACCCCTCGGTGGGGAAGGTGCCCTGGAGAAGGGAATGGCTACCCACCCCAGTATTCCTGCTTGGAGGATCCCATGGACAGAGAAGCCTAGCCACCGTCCATGGAGTCACTCAGAGTCCAATGCGACTAACACTTTTACTCTTTTCACTTTTCACTCTTTTCACTTTTCAATCACACCACTCTGGCTCCCACTGGGAACTAAATCTAACAGCATCCTAGTCCTGTTGGCCCCCTCTGGAACCCCCTAACCATAGATCCCACTAACCATAGATTCCCACTGGCACTGAGAAGGTATCTGTGAGAAGGATTGTCTCAGTGGGTGGGGGTCCTGCTCACCTAGGAAAGCCTCAGTGAACTCCTTGGAAGCATGGGTGGCCACCTGTGCCAGCTCTTCTTGGCTCATGCCCTGTAGACGAGGATGTGCTGGCTCTAGTCTCTGTAGCAGGATGAGGGCCCCCCATACTTGCTGGGTCAGGGTGGGGGCCGAAGTCAGAGCAGCTCCGTTGTGCCGTCGGAAGTTGCTTCGGAATCCTGGGTCTCCTGCTACCCCGGCTCCATAGTACTGGCTCAGCAGCTGACTGAGGGGTGGCCGGGGCTCAGGGGTCTGGCTGAGGTAGTCTCCAAGGAGGGCTCCGTCCAGGGCACCATTGAGGAAGGCCGTGGTGAGGGGTGATGCCTCAGGAGCCAGGAGCGTGAAGGTCCTGGGAACAGAGAGCTGGTCCCAGCATCCCTCAGTTCCCAGTCCAGAATGATTCCAGGTCTGGGGGCCCTGGAGGAAGTTCAGGCCCAGGTCTCCAGCCAGGGTGACCACGAGGATGTTGTCCACAGCGGTTGGTAACTTGGCCTTGGTATCTGGAGAGGAGGCTTGGACATCTGGAGAGCCAGGTCTAGCTTCTGGAGAGGTGGCTTCAACATCTAGATCTTTGGTGCTAACATTTGGAGACACAGCTCTGACATCCGCAGAGGTGACATCAGGAGAGGCATTGCTGAGCCCTGGGGAGGTGGCTCCAAGGTCTGGAAAGGTGACTCCAGCATCCGGAGGGGTGGCTGAGCTCTCTAAGGAGAGGTTTACGATTCTGTGTCCCTGAAGCCCTGCCCAAAGCCCTGCCAGAAGAGGTTCCACAGCCACGGTTGAGCCATCGGGTGCTAGAACCACCCCGTATTCCTTCCCATCCTGCACGCTGTGTCTCGCCACCTCTCCCATTAGGCCTCGAAGCTCTGGGCTCAGCGAAGGAGGATCCAGATCGGTGGTGTTGAGACTCTTCCCCTCCAGCAGGAAGTGACGGAGGGGACTGTGGGTACCAGAGCCTTGGGCTGACAGCAGCCATGCAGCGGCACTATGGCCAGCCTCAGTGGCTGGTGCCTTCTGCTCCAGCTCCGCCAGCGCCTGGATGACAGAGTCCATGAGCAGGGGCAGGGTCGCTGTGGGAGGAGGGATGGCATTAACCCAGGCAGTACCCCCTGTTCCTCAGCCTCCTCCTGCCGCGTATACATCTTCTCAGTGCCCCCAGCTCTTTGTGGACAACTTCACAATGTCTGACACTGCCCTTGTGTAGGTGAGGGAACTGAGACACAGACAGCAGGTTAAAGAGCTTAGACTACCAGTGGGCACTGGGGAGCTACAGCAGCTTCATGAGCAGGAGAGATACATGGCCAGGTTGAGATTCTAAGATTGCTCTTTTGAGTTCCATATGAAGAATATAATTTTTTGGAGGGCAGATCAGAGTAGAGAAGGGGAGAGAGGGTGGAGGTAAGTAAAGAAGGTGGCTGAAGCCAGGATGGTGATGCTGTGATGGATAAGAGTGGGCAGTGTCCCCAGGTATCTTGAGGAAATGATGGACAGTTTTTTTTTAGTGGACTGGAGTTTGCAGAAATATAGAGGGAACGGTGTCTTGAAGGGTGCCCAGGGGAGGGTGAGCCTGTGCCATGTGGGAGAAATGTGAGTGGCTGAACTTGGAACTTAGAAGTGTGGGGCTCAGAGCTAGGGTGAGTTGTTGAATAATAGCTGACATTAATTAAACACTTACTGTGTGCCAGGCACCATTGTAGGTGACTTATATAACTGAACACATTTAATCTTCACAAGGACCCTATGAGCATGAAGAGGTTAAATTACCTACCTAAGATCACATAGGGAGGAAGTGGCAGAGGCAGGATTTGAACACAGGAAGTCCTAATCCTTACACTCCACCATCTGCTGCAATTCAGACTCTTCTCCAGACAGTTCACATAGTAATTCCTCTATAACTTTGCTTTACTCTCTGCCTAAAATGTCCTTTACTGCTTCACCACCAAGTAAAATTCTTCTTCCTGTCCTAGATTTATATCCCCTCCTCCAGGAAGTCTTCCTAATTTCTGTTCTTTTGGCCCCAGTTTCTTCCCCCAGCCCTTGCCTGGATCCTACGGGGTTGGAAACATCTGTATTCCCAGACTGGAGTTTCCGAGAGACTTGAGCCTTGTGAGTCCAACCTCACCCTGTAAAGAGCTGGACGCAGAGGGGCAGCAATATACTGAACTAAGAGTCCTGGCTTCAGGCCTCTGCCTTCTGACCCACCTGTCCCTGGCTCCGGCTGCAGCAGCAATCCATACAGGATCCAGACTATACCCTGGACCACCACTGTGGGCTTCCAGTTTCCAAAGGACATAGCCGGTTGACCTCAGCGGAGATCTCAGCAGGGCTGGAAGGAGACAGACAGGGCAAACAAGTAGTACCTTCAGCTACTGTCAAAGTCCAGCGGTGAATGACACGGCTGCCGCTTGTGGAGCTGTGGGCGGGAGGCCGCAGAGGCATGGGTACAGAGTGCCCATGCCCAAGGTCATCTGGGTCTCAGGGGCTCCCCTAGCCTATCCCATTCCTCCCAGGCTGAGGTCAAGGATCAGTAAGTTCCAGGACAGGCCTTGGAAACCAGATAGTTCAGACTCCAGCAGATTCAGCCCATTCCCCAAGAGAGGTAGACTAAGGCCCATCCAGCATCCCACCCTTCATATGGCGATAGTTTTGTGGCTGCTTCTGGCCACCAAAGGGGACTCTCAAGTGCCTGCCCAACTGGTAGGACAGGCTGTGCTGAGAGTCGAGAGAGGAGAGGCCTGCCTGAAGTTGACACTACCTCCTGCCTTCTTTGATGCCAGCACTTTAGCCTCAGGCAAAGGGTGGGTGCAGGGGCCGAGGACTGTTTTTGCTGAAGTCTGTTCGGAGTGTAGGGGGACTCGGAGATGTCACTTCTCATCTGGTTCCAGCTCCGGATCCCATGCCATCAGGGATAGCTGAGAGCAGGAATTGGGCTCGGGGAAGGTGTTCGGGACCCTGACTCTGTCCCCGGACCAGACTTCTGGGCTCACCTGGGCTGGTGGTGAGGCGGTTCTCTCCCTTTTCCGCTGGTGTCCGTGGCCAAGTCCTGCTGAAGAGAGCCCGTCTCCCCTTTATCTGGTGTCACGTGGGATGGGCTCAGCTTGGCTGGGGCTGCCATGGATATTGCTTCACTGTGGGCCTCCCATCTCGAAACCAGCCCGGGGAGTTTCCAGGAGACCCACCAGGCTGGGCATTCAGCAGAGGGCGGGCCCTGGGCGGGCCTGGGAATATTCGGGCTGAGCCAGGCCTGGGATTTCCCAGGGGGCCTACTTAGCTATTGAGAGTCCTCTTTCTGTTTACCCAGCATGGGCTTCCTTGGTGGTTCCTCAAGGTGGTTCAGTGGTTAAAAATTCACCTGCCAGTGCAGGATATGCAGGAGATGCGGGTTGGTCTCTGGGTTGGGAAGTTGATCCCTGGGTCAGGAAGTCCCCTGGAGAAGGAAATGGCCACCTACTCCAATATTCTTGCCTGGGAAATCCTATGGACAGAGAAACATGGAGGGCTGCAGTCCATGGGGTCGCAGAGAGTTGGACACAACCAAGCAGGCACCTCAAATTCGCCAAAAATCCAAAATTCGAAGCATGGCCTAGCACAAATCTGGACACACAGTTAGGTGCTGAGGGAGGGGGGTGCTTAGCCCAGAGGCAGCTCCCCAGGAGATTCTGAGGAAATCTCCTCCCCCAAGCCCATTTCTGAGGATTTGGGGTCAGGGGCTCTGCCTGGTAGAACCATGTGGAGGATGTGTACTGTGTGTCCGTTGGGTGCAGGACTAGAGTGGAGAGTGTAGAATTTAAGCTGGTGCTGAAAATCTCAGCCATCAAGATAATAATATTCTAATGCAATTTTTTATTCTGGCTGTGCCCCAAGGCATGTGGGATCCTTGTTGCCTGACCTGGGATGGAACCTATGCCACCTGCATTGTAAGATGGAGTCTTAACCACTGGACTACCAGGGAAGTCCTGCTAATGCAATGTTTACTTATTTATTTTTTAAAATTTATTAACTTATTTTATTTGGAGGATAATTTCTTTACAATATTGTGATGGTTTTTGCCATATATCAGTATGAAGCAGCCACAGGTATACATGTGTCCCCCATCCTGAATCCCCTCCCACTTCCCTCCTCATCCTATCCCTCTTTGTTGTCACAGAGCACCAGTTTTCAGTGTCCTACTTCATAATGCAATGTTTTTAAAGACTAAAAGCAAAGCAAAAAAAAAAAAAATGCATGATGAACAAAATAGCAACATTTTAGTAAAGACAGGATCAGGGGCAGGGCTGTGCTCATACATATTGGAGCCAGAGGTGAAAGGAAAAACCAGGAATTCTGATACTGTCTTTGTGCCTCACTGGCTTTATCTTCATTCAGGCCCTAGACCCACTGGGGGTAGCCCCCAGGTGGACTGTCCCATGAGATCCCTACCTGCTGTCCTCGCAGTCTGGAAATGAGCTTGATGCGGCCTCATGAACCCTGGGTTTGTCTCTCTGATTCTCGTGGCTGTTGGGGGACACTTGCAGTTTTATTAAAAAAATTTTTTTTATTGGTCATCCATTTTATTTTGTTTTTTAAAAGTTTTAATTTTATATTGAAGTATAGCTGATTAACAGCGTTGTGATAGTTTCAGGTGGACAGCAGAGGGACTCAGCTATACGTATATCATGTATTCATTCTCCCTCAAACTCCACTCCCATCCAGGCTGGCACATAACATTGAGCAGAGTTCCCCGTGCTATACAGTAGGTCCTTGTTGGTGATCCATTTTAAATATAGCAGCGTGGACATGTCCATCCCAAACTTCCTAACTCTCCCTTTCTACCATCCTCCTCCTGAGGTAACCGTAAGTTTGTTCTCTAAGTCCCTTGAAGTTTTACTTAACCACCCATTCATGCTCATTTTATCCAGCAGGAGGGTGAGCTCAAAGAAGTTAAATAACTTGCCCAGGGTCACACAGTGAGAACCTGGGGAGAGCTCCAAGCCCACTGCGTGTTTTCACCGTCCTGTGGCAAGATCAGGGTCAGAGGCAAGACTGGTGACAGACCAACTTCACACCCAGTAATTCTTGGGCCCGATGGGCAGCCTTGATATCCTTTTAAAGCTTGAAGTTTGTGGTTGTTTTGGAGCCAGGGACATGGCCAGCATGCATTTCCCCAAGGGTCCATCTGGGATTAGTGATTTTCTCGGGTAGGACCCTTCCTCCAGGAAACCTCCCTGATTACCCCTGGCTCCCCAGTTTCTTCATTCTGGCTCCCTAGCCCAGGATTCCTACCTTTGACCCAGACCTAGCCGTACAAGACCCCGAGTTTCTCTGTCTGGGGTTCCGTCTCTCCCAGACTAGAAGATGTTGAATTTTCTTAGGATGTCCAAGGATGCCCACCACAGGTCAGAGACCAGATGGGTAGCAGGGAGTGTTGAGTGTAGGATAGGCCTTCTTGAGGACGTGGGGTCAGTTTGAGGTCAGGCTCGAAAACGCAAGCAACATGCAGGCACCCACCCACCAAGGCACCTGGGCTGGGCCAGGCCTGGGAGGGGTCAGGAAGGCTGGAATTCCCATGATGAGTCATCCCCCGCCCCCGCGTCCCTCCCACCTCTGTGAGGCCCAGTGGCAGGGAAGGTCAAGGCCCCTCCAGGCTGTGGACAGACCAGGGGTCTTATGAGAGTACCTGGCACCTGGGTCCATCCTGAATGGAGGTAGCCTCAGCACACACCGTCAGAGCCCTGGAATCTGGATCTAAAGTGAAGCTGGGATCAAGGCCAGAGGACAGAGGAAATGGAGCCTGGGGGCAGGGCTGGGTCTGGGGCCAAGATCAGAGTTAATAACTTTCAGTTCAGTAACAGTGGGCTTCACTGGTAGCTCAGATGATAAAGAATGTGCCAGCAATCCAGGAGACCCGGGTGCGATCCCTGGGCTCGGGAAGCATGGCAAGCCACTCCAGTGTTCTTGCCTGGGGACTCCCATGGATCGAGAAGCCTGGACTTTGTGACAGTCCCCAGGGTCACAAAGAGAGTCGGACATGACTGAACAGTTAACACTTTCACTATACTTTTTGGGTAACAGTAGCGACAATAAGAGTGAGGACCCTGATGCACTTGTGTACCGGTCTCTGAGAGAAGGTTTTATTTGTTTATTTTTAAAATAATTTTATTGATCTAGTTTTGGCCGTGCAGGCTCTTTGTGGTTGCTCAGGCTTTTCTCTAGTTGTTGAAAGCAGAGTCTACTCTCCAATGGTGGTGTCCATGCTTCTCATTTCAGTGGCTTCTCTTGTTGCAGAGCACAGGCTCTGGGGCAAGTGTGGGCTTCAGTAGTTGGAGCCCATGGACTCAGTAGTTGTGGCTCCTGGGCTCCAGAGCACAAGCTCAGTAGGTGTGGAGCACGGGTTTATTTGCTCTGAGACATGTGGGATCTTCTTGGATCAGAGGTTGAACTTGTGTCTCCTGCATTGGCAGGGGGATTCTCCTGGGCTCCAGAGCACAAGCTCAGCAGGTGTGGAGCACGGGTTTATTTGCTCTGAGACATGTGGGATCTTCTCGGATCAGAGGTCGAACGTGTGTCTCCTGCATTGGCAGGGGGATTCTTTATCACTGAGCCATCGTGGAAGTCCAAGATAAGATTTTATGTGCCCATGTTAAACATTTTTTTTCTTTGCAGAAGTGTAGTTGATTTACAGTTTTGTGTCATTGTCTGCTGTACAACAAAGTGATTCAGTTATACACATACAGATATTATTTTTTAGAACATTCTTTTCCATTATGGTTTATTATATAATATTGAATATAGTTCCCTGTGATATACAGTAAGACCTTGTTGTATATTCATCTTGTGTATAATAGTTTACATCTGCTAATCCTGAGGGGTCAGAAAGATCCCCTGGAGAAGGAAACGGCAACCCACTCTAGTATTCTTGCCTGGAAAATCCCATGGACAGAGGAGCCTGGTGGGCTACAGTCCATGGGGTCACAAGAGTCAGACATGACTTAGTGACTAAACAACAACAGTCCTGGGAGTCCTTCACTCCTCCACCCTTTCCCCTTCAGCATCCATAAGTCTGTTCTCTATGTCTGTGAATCTGTTTCTGCTTTGTAGATAAGTTCATTTGTGCCATATTTTGGATTCCAAGTATAAATGGTATCATGTGGTATTGATATTTGTCCTTCTCTTTCTAACTTACTTCACTATAGTGTGATAATCTCTAGTTGTACCCATCCTGTCCAACTCTGGATCAAACCCAGGTCTCTCTCATTGTAGACAGATTCTTTACTATCTGAGCCATCAGGGAAACCCCTCTAGTTGTACCCATAT